TATATATATATATATAGGCACATTTGTTCCTATTATATAGTTAAAATAATAAAAGAAGCATGGAGATGTTTCAGCCACATGATCACACACTTGGATGAAGGTTTTCTTTACTTGATTAATTGTGAGTCTGGTGACTCAAATGATAATTATACAAAATAAAGTATATTGGCATTCTAATTAAGGTTTGGTCAGTCATGTTGTCGTTTGAATCTTATATTTGTGTAAATCCCTGATAATGCTTTATTTAGTTTTTACAGGTATGCATGTTAACTTATAAAGCATATGACAGACGTGTTGTGTCACTGAATGTGTCTCTTCTAAACAAGGATTTTATTTATTTTTTTATTCTCCTCAAAAACCAAACCTAATTGGCAGAGACAACTTTTATAATTAATATATGTGAACTTGATCTGATCTTTGGAGTGCTGTGACATATCTGGGCAAACTCTGGAATAAGTTAAAACACAGTTTATATCCACTCTACTGTATACTAAATAAAAAAGGAAGGAATAGCAGCAGTGCTGTGACAAAGCACTGTCAAAGGCTGTCAGGTTCTCAAGCTAATTAAAACCCCTGCCTCATTCCGTTCCCTGATCTCTCCTCACAAAGACCCTTGAGTGGCTTCAATGAGCAAGCTCAAGCTTAAGTGAATGTTTACCTCCCCTAATGACTATCTGTCTCTGTGCTGAGCTAATGCAAGAGCTACGCTCCTTTCATGGCAGTGTAACTCAGTAAAGTTACACAGACTCATGCAGAGCTGAGACCACGACGTCTCAGACTAAACTATTTGACGACAAAAAGCCATTTGGTGGTTGTCATTATTTTGTGCACAGTTTAATGACTGCTGAACAGCATGGCACCTCAGTAATGCACTAATTCAAACAACAATCTGAGCTAATGTCCTCACCTCTCTTCTGTTAGCTGCGAGCTGTGACACTTGTGTCTTATTAAAAATGTTCTACAAAGTCAAAGTTTTTAATGGAAAAAAACACAAACTGTGTGTGTGGGAATGTTAAGAACTGTAAAAAAATCTTATGTTTGAACCGTGGTCAACGTACTACTTCTTATCATGCTCGCACAGTTCTCAAAAATAACATAGTTTGTGTATTTGATAATTGAGTTTTAACGATGCATTAATCTTTTTTTTGTTTTTTTAAAGAAATTGCTCAAAACTAAGTTTTCTTTTATTTTTGAAAAGTGGAAAGGTTCACTGAATGTGTTAATATGTAACATGGAACATAATTAACATGCAAATACAAAATAATGCCCCCCCCCCCCACACACACTGGGTGGGCATCTTTTTATTTTTATTTTGTTCCATCAATCAATTTTGGATGCTATTTAAAAAAAAAAAAAAAAAAGCTTATTCGGCTAAAACGTTGAGATTTACAATAACAAGAGGCTGAAATTGATGCTCAGTGACTATAATGTGTCTAAAAAAATAAAGTGCGGTCCTCTGAACAGATTCTTCTTGTTGAAACAGTTTGTCTTTCATCCAGAGGACTTCTTCAGTCTAATGAGCTGCAACAAATAATAAACAGACCCTCCTCGTAGTGGATCAAGCAGTTTGCTGGAGTCAGCCAACGCTCGCTGTTCACATGATGAAGGAGGAGCATCAAACTAACGACTGATCGTTAGTGCCCTGGTGAGCGCTTGCTACTCACAGAGGGCTGAGTGATGCTAAAAACATACCCCATGTTAGTTGTAATGCACATTTAAAACAGCAGCTGTTACCAAAGTGCTTAACAATAACAATTAACAGGAGTAATTTAATGAATAATAATAATAAGAAGAAAACCAAAGATTAATATTGCTGAGAATGTGCTGTTTATAAGACTGAGTTTATTGCAGCTCCTCAGACTTAGGACTCCTTAGACCAATTATTAAATCTCCTCAGATGAGCGTCTTCTGTTACGAATAAAGTCCAGTTGTTTTTGTCTTGAACTTTTTTGAATTCAACATGTCCTGGAAGACTGAGAAGCTTCACCAGCAAGCAGCTCCTCAGACTGACAAAAGTATTTTTGGATAAAAGACAAAATGTTTCGACAAGAAGAATCTGTCCAGATTATACGACTTTTTTTATTTTCCCTACCTGGATTATTGAGCATGCATCAGGATATCCATCCAGCATCCATTATCCTGGCAGGGACCAATGCAGACATGTTCCTGTTTTTAGTTTTCTACATTCACCTTAGAATCTAGCTGTTTTTGTGTTGCTTTTCTTTTTTTTTGTGCCATAAATAAAATAAAATGTGAATGGCTTTTTGTGATTGTTTGTTGTTGTCACTGTTGTCCATTGTTGTCATTTTTCTTTGTTGAAATCAGGTCTCTCTTGTAAATGAGTCATCGAGGCTCATTGGAATTTACCTGTCTAAATAAAGGTTGAATGATGGAATTATCTTTTACCCGCTTCTTCCATTTTGGGTCACGGGGGTCGCCGGTGACCATGTCCAGCAATCACTGTGCGAGGGGCGGAGTACATCCGGGAGAGGTCTCCTGTCCATCACAGGGACACACAGAGACAAACGAGACAAACAACCATTCACTCTCTCACTCACACCTAGACAATTTAGAGTTACCAATCAGCCTAACATGCATGTTTTTGGTCTGTGGGAGGAAACCGGAGTACCCGGAGAAAACCCACCCATGCACTGAGAGAACATGCAAACTCCACCCAGAAAGCCCCCCGGACTGGGGTTTGAACCAGGGACCTGCTCGCTGAGAGGCAGCAGCTCTACCAGTTGTGCCACCATGCTGCACATCAGGATATAATGTGTCTTATTTTTAAAAGGGACATGAAAGAGTTAAACTTTAAGAGAAAGGTCCTAAGGGATTCATGTTTAAATTTTCTGAATAAATACTTCTGGCTGAATATATATATATATATATATATATAGTTGTATCCAGCATTTTTTAAACTCTAAATATCATTTCTTCTCCTTTATAAACTTCTGAAGCTCAGCTGGAGGATGTTCGGCTGAATTCAGTTGCTAAGTCTCCTCTTTTATGGCTTGTGGTTACTAGGGCCTCAAAGAGCAACAAGGTGACTCCTTATTACAGCTCAGTTCTCAGCCACTGTGACCTGCACAATTTTCACACCTTCCTGGAGCTTTAATGAGCAGTTTCATGTGACATTGTCCTTGATCTTTATTCCTCTTTGCGATTGGATTACATCCACGTGCTCCAGACGAGCAACCTCCATCAGCCGCAATCAATTCTCTCGCCTTTTAGTTTTCAAGAAGAGATAAACAAGTGAAGTTCATTGCACACTGCAGTTGTTGTCCACCGGTGAACATAACCTGCTCTTGCACACACTCCAATTGATAAATGATTTATTTTAAATTGTACATATGAGCTATGGGGACTTGCTTTCATTTGGGGTTTTGTGAGGTTTGGGGCTTTGGACCTGAAAGCAGTCTAAAATATGTGAATTAATGGAAATAACGAGGCATGACACGCTCCATGATCATCTTTTATTCAAAACTTAAAAAAAATATATATATAAATATAATAAGTTTAGTGCTTGCAGGCAAACTGCAACTCCAAGTGGTCAACCAAAACAGCCAGTAACCACTCCATGAACCACAACCTGCCTGTTCCTATTAGGTCGTTGTCCTTCACAAGTCCTCATCGCTGCAAGGCAGGGTCAGAAATAAAAAAGGCACCCAGTCCTAAGACACGATGATGAAACTGTGACAAATCAACTCATTCTTTCGCCTCACATTCTGCAAGTCGCCGTGCCCCGGGATTTCAGCTCCTCTTTTCAGTGGAAGCTGGTGAAACTCGAGACTCAGTTGTGTTCATTTCTCTAATCCAATCCCCGAATAAAACCTCCCTTTGAACCGTCTGCAGAAAAGCTGAAAGGCAGCACATATCCCTCCCTCCGTCCGCGCGCGCTCTGACTCTGATCCGCGCTCAGTGTCCAACGCACGAGCGCCGATAGAGCAGATCTAATTAAGTTTGCTGATGGTGAAAGTGATGATTATTCTGTAGGAGAGGGCAAAGATGATAACGAGAATAACTCCAGGGGAGCTGAATTCACCCTCTGGTCATCCTCCCACTCCTCTTCCTCCTTATGAAGATGATCGTGGCCATTATTAATACCGTTATTCAACTAATTCAAACTCACTTATAGGTTTATATAAGAAAAATTCATTCTGACATTCATACTCTTGCATATTCCATAAATAGTAACTTTAATGAACCAAATATCATTGGAATTATTATTTTTTTGGCCATATTTATTTAAATATCTTGCTCATTTTTAAATGCATTTCAATTCACCTGTTTGGTTTCGTTTGCATGTTGTTCTTTAATTAGTAGACTATTAATCATGCCTGCAGGTGCCCTCCATCGGTTATATAAAACAAGGCATGCCCCTCTGACCATTCGCGCATCCAGGTTGCCACCCCCACTTCTTCCTAACACCTCCTTCTCTCACTTCCTCCAGCTCAGTCCCAGCCAACCGGGAGTATTCTCGCTGCTGGAATAAATTAAATCGCGGCGTTATGGTACAGGAGGGTGGGAGAGCGCCCCCAGAATGCCATTCACACATTCCGCGCGCCGGGAGCACAGAGTAACCATCGGAATCGTGAGCGGCTCTCCGTGCGCCCCTGCACGGTGCGCCCCCGAGCGCGACTCTCCAATCAACAGCCAGATGAGTGAGAGGACAGCGGCGCGCCCCGCTCCTCGCGTACGCGCGGACTTTGTGCACTCACCGAATCTAAATACATCTTCCCAGTCATGAAGCTACCTGGTTGATCTGAGTCTCCTGAGGCAGCGGGTCTGCTGCGACTCATTCCGCTGGAGTGGATCTACAGCAGCCTCCCCACTGCGCCACGTCGGAGGTGCCCTGCTGGAAATATTCCTAAATTAAAAGAAGAGGAGCTCGCTCTGAGGAGGTCGGCTGTCTTCTTCTGTTTGGTTCAACTTGCTCAGCCTCCTACTGTGCTTCTGGTGTAACCTTCCCCCACAAAAAAAGCGTCTTTTCCCAATGCGCACCAGTGTGAGCGCCCAGATTTACGCACCTCCACGGTCCTATGAAAGGATTTTGCAGAGATTTATTCTGATTACAGACGGACAGCAAGACTTGCAGACTAAGGTAAACCACACAGCAATACAAGTTTAATAAAATTATTACAGTTGAAGATAGTGTTATTTAAAAGCGAATGAAAAACGTTTAGCTGTAAAATGCAGTCGGAGTGGTCTAGAAGTGGTTTCTGACCCTTCTATAGTGGACAAGTGAAGCCCTTTTAGTTTATTACTCACATGCACAATTCCAGCTGGATTCCTGTGTGTTCATTGTGCCTCACTTCATCTCACTCTTCACATCCTATCTCTTCCAGCTGAACTCATTGGGATTGCAGGGAGAATGAGGAGTCACCGGGGTCGGGGGAAGCAGCATGAATGGCCCGTGCACATTCATTAGACTGACGGCCCTCATGTTTCTATGGAAGTGGTTGACACTAAGCCTGCTCCAGAGCTGCTTGTCAGAGGTGGCCGGTGCCGCGGACTCCGCCGGGGCTGGCTTCAGCGGCTCTAATGGACCCCTGAGCTGGCTCCTGTCGGAGAAGGGCCCTTTCCACAACTCACAGGAGTTTGTTGACTTCACGGAGCGCTACCAGCAAGGATTCACTACCAAGTACAAGATATACAGGTGAGAGGACGAGCATCGTCTGGAACGCCTGACGGAATGTTCCTGAGATTTGGTTTGAAATTAAAAATAGAACAAAAGAGGCAGAGCAGTTTTTGTTGCTTTGCTTTGAGGGAAGAAAGAAAGAAAAAAAAAAACATATTGAAAAGAATAGCCAAGAAATAACACTTACACTTTTCTTTACACTACAAAAGATGCAGATTTAGTAGGTGGCAAATGGTGGGATGAAGCGCTGAGAAGATTACTCTGTGGAGTTTTGCATACAAATGAAGGCTCAGTGCGCATTCTGTATAGATCCAAGCGTCTTTCCGTGCAGATCCTCGCCTCCCTCTTTGTGTGCAGCAGAAACATATGGTTGGAGTATGATATAAACTCTAAATGGTGCATATCGGTGCAAACTCAAAGTGGCGCTACCACAGGAGGGTTTGAAGAAAAGCAGTGGGACATTACAGATGTCTGACTGAGCCTGTTGATGTGTGATAGTGGGTACACAGAGCGGCTTTAGAAGTGTGTGGTGTGAAGTATGATGTGTGTGTTTAGCAGCAGCAGGGTGTTGTTTGAAAGGCTTTTTGTGTGTGTGATGTACTAGTTCTATTATATATATATATTTTTTTAAGAGAAATACAACACTAATATTATTATTCAGCGTGCAAAATTCGTATATATATATATATATATATATATATATATATATATATATATATATATATATATATAT